AATTATTGCATATGAAATACTTGCTTTTTTCATCATTTGCTATATATACATACATGATGTTAACATGTTTAGGTAGCTAGTTCAATTAAAATTTCAACTAATTGAAAGTTCTAATTGATGAGTTGATAGATCTATAATAAATATATAAAACAGTTTCTTCTAGCAACAAAGGAATGTAATTAGCATGGCCAATATCCAACCAACACAAAGGACGTGTTCGACAAAATAAATTACTCCATAGCTATAATTCTTAATAAAAGTAATGTAAAGATTAATCTAGCAGCGTTTTACGAATAATTAATGGCTGCTTGAAACAAGCCACCATCCGCCACTCCACCAAAATTGTTGCCGAGCACACCTTAACAACAATCAATAATCACCTTCATCTCATAAACAACTATTGTTAAGCACCAATCTTGCAACTCCAAATCCACCAATTTCACCTAACACATCCCAAAATCAATTCATCATAATAATGGTATCAAAGTTGATATGAAGTGTCAATAACTACACTACAATATCAATCACCCATTATCAAAGTTTCCAAAAAAATATCAATACTTGTATCAATAATATGGTGTAGATTCATTTAAACTAAGCTTTTGTTCTTATCTATTTGAACAGGTGGCACAGCATAAAGAATGTCTAATTTACTAAATTGAGTTATCAATTAGTTGTGATCACCTGATCATTGGAAGTTAGTTAACTCAACTGTCAGTTTCATAAGCATACTTGTCAGCATAATGACTTTAATTTAGATTATTTTGTTGTAATTATACGTCATAATTTAGTCTCATGAATCGTATCAAATCAACTAAATTAGTTTTAAATTTACAAAACTCTACTCTTTGACTTGCAATCGCGTATGTTATCATTGACTTTCTTTAACATACTTATCAGCCGACTTAGTAGTAAGCCTATCACAAAATCTTGATAATCATTATAAATAAAACGAAGCTTTTGGTAGTAATTTACTTTAATTTGTAAATCCTTAAGAAAATTATATATTTCGTGATTTGGAGATTATTTCATATTTGGATATTTGAAAAGGAATAAATTGTTCAATATATGCGCTTTTTAAATAACATGTACTAGTCATGAAGATCTTTAATGGATTCTAAGGTCTTTCAATGCATGATAATGGTAAACACATATAATTAATCAGTAAATAATAGAGTCAAAATACATATAGTAGGTATCGAAATTTTATTGATATGTACATAGGGTTACAATCTCTATTTTTTTCTTTTTTGAACGGCTCTAATATTTATTTCATTTCAAACTAATTTGATTGACCAAGAACTAATTTATTGACTTCATTCATTGATTTGGTTCCCCTTAAACTTAATTTGGCTCATGAATTGATTTATTTAAACTATAATTATACGTTAAATGAACTGGTTGAGATTGTTAAACAACCCAACCCCCCCCCCCCCCCCCCCCTTTTTTTGTAAGGAATGGGAGTGTTTAAACTTTGTAGAGTTGCAATTTGATTTCTCTTCTACTTGCCTTTGATTTGGACTTCATTGTCATGGCCCATTATAATGTAATCCGTTTTATTGGGTTCTAAACTTTAAATCAAATCTCAAATGTACTTAATTATGATACTAGTATTTAGAATGGCTAAATCAGTTTGTTCACTCAAATTAATTATTTCAATTGACCTTGCAATAATCATTATGTCAAACTTTTGACTCAATAAAATCAAATGTGGCACAGTCACAATTATTCCATGCCTAATTGCCTACACATATATTGGCAAATTAATGGTCGAAATTAGTATAATTGAGTATGAGGCAGTCGACAACCAAAATGATACTCATATCTAAAATGTTAGAACCAACAAAAATGATTGCAAATGAAGATGATGCTAATTAATGAGGATGAGGTATTGATAAAAGAAAGATGTTAGTTGTACTATGAAAAAAAAATAATAAAAAAAAAGATATTAGGAGATTACACCAAAATGAGGGTAATAATTTCCCCTTTTCCCCTTATCTTCTTATCGTCACTACCTCTTTTTTCTTGCAATCACATCACCACTACTGACACTACCTCATTTTCTTTTGATCCATGTTCATTTTATTTTATTTTATTTGACATGCTCTTATTTACATCATCAAAAGCTTTGTTAAAATATCTACCATTCTACCTCTCCATTTCATTTAATCACATCGACCTCTATACTCTCAATACTCAATAATATGCAATTTACTAGATGAAATCCGTGCGATGCACGGTTTGTTTGTATTTTTAAAAATAAAATATTTTACTAAATACATATTTATCTGATAAACTTTGTGATATTCGCTTAATACTACTTGAATTTTTTATAATAAAATGAAAAATTAATTTTGTTTCTCATATTTAGATACAATTCCTAATATAGAAAAATAATATTTTATTTCACAAAGTTTCATATGTGGCTGGCCACATTGTGTGGTCGGGATTACTTGGTGATTTTTAAAAATAATAATCTTATGTGTCGCTCTTATAATTTGTTTTTTTTTAATCGTAATCTTAAGTAGCACTTTTTAAAAAAAATAATCTTACGTGGTACAATCCTATTGTAGCGTTTTAAAAATATTAATTATACGTGGTGATTTTTTTTATTATAATCCTACGTAACACTTTAAAAAACTAATCTTCCGTGGCATAATCCTATTGTAGCGTTTTAAAAACATTAATCCTACGTGGCGCTCTAATAATTTTTAAAATATTAAAATCCTATTCTAAAATCTCGGGAAAAAACTCCCCTTTATATATATATACTAGTTTTGTGCCCCGGGCGATGCCTAGGTTGTTTATTAAATTTTAGGATAAACCTTTTGGCTTGAATGTTAAATACGGTCATATAATCACTTTTAATAATGCACGATATATATTTAGACATGCGATATCATACTTAAATTATTTTTACTAAACTGAAAGTATTTTTACCGATTAAAACTTATTTTTACTAATTCTCTATTATTTTAAATATATTATAAATGGATCTTATTTTAAAGAATTTTTTAAAATGAATTTTATGATGGATTTAGAACCAGGTTATTAGATTTTTATTAAAAGTTATGATTAATTTTCTATATATGAAATATTAATAGTGTATTGATAATAAAACTCTATACAACATTTTCATCTTCAAATATCTATCCAAAATTCGATTATTTAGCATCATATGTGTCACAATAATACTTATTTGTTGCCTGATATACACGTTTTATACATATATCTTCCCAACTTTTCATTACGTTTTTGCATGGTTTTAGGCTCTTTCGAGCCATTTCCCGCTAACAATCTCTTCTCTAGTGTGTTCGGTGTATTTTTATAAGTTTTACAGGAATTTGGAGTTTTCCGGACAATTCGGACATGTTTAGAGCAATTTGGAGATGTTAGTGGACGAGGACGTATAAGCAAGCTAAACAACGAACCAAGACTAAGGAGAAAAGAGGAAGAAAAGCAGCATTTATAGCTGTGCCCGACCGGGCTAGGAATGCCCTGTCAGATCGGGCGCAATAGAGGAAGTCAGGCTAATGGCAGTGCCATGCGCCCGATCGGGCAACCCATGCCCGGTCAGACCGGGCGCGTGGTAGAAGAAGCTTGACATTGCTACGAAGCTCAAGAGAAGGCAGCAGGATGATTTTGGTCTCGCGCCCGATCGGGCTCAACCTGCCCGGTTGGACCGGGCGAAGAAGAACTCCAGCGGAAGCAATTTTAGCAACTTTAATCCTAAGTGCCCGATCGGGCAGGCACAGCCCGGGTAGACCGGGCACAGTTATGGCGCAGCTCCGATTTAATTTTTTTTCTTTTTTTAGGTCTTAAGGGGTATAAATACCCTTTATAACTTTCATTAGAGACAGTTTTCAGTTTTCCATTATTCCTCTTTCTCTCTCTAGAATTCTAGTTTATCATTTTGAAGCAATTTTAATTCCTTGCACAAGATTTGAGCATTGTTCTTCAACAATTTAATTCCCTTCAATTGAAGAATCCTTGGTATTCACTTCTACTTCATTCTCTTTCAATTATAATTGCTTTTCAATTATGTTTTCCATATTTATGATTGTTATTGTCTCTTTCAATATGTGTGAGTAGATTTTCTATTCCAAGATCTAGGGTAGCCCAATTATGATTGATGCATGAATTAAAACTTTAAATTCTCTAATGACTTTTGCAATTGCTATGCTAAATTGATTGTGATTATGCCAATACTAGGTTAGACGTAATCTTGGTGTTGTGATTATTCCATTGTTTCTATCGCAGCGAGAGTTGGATTTAAACGGATTTGAGTAGATCAATCTAGGGTTTGATTTTCAACATGAGAATAGTTGGATTGATGATTGGGAAGTTAGAGTAATGTGTTTAATGTCTCTAATATGCATGATACCATGAGAATAGGCTTGATTGTATGTCAGAGAAGTCATTGATACTCGAGAGAGGTCCTTGGTATTGATTAGGGTTTACTTTTCCCCATTCAATTGGAATTGTATGTTAGGGGTAGAATTATAATTGCATCATTCGTAATTGTGGTGATACTTGATCTTGGATGTTTTAATTACTTGATTTCTTCATATTCTTTAGTTTATTTTCGAATTTTCCATACATTAGTTCCTTAATTAATCGATCTTCATTGATTCTTGCTTAGTAGGAATTTGAGTCTATTTAATTATTTTTGAACCTTAGTCTTTTGGGATTCGACCCTTGCTTGCCCTGCTACATAGTAGTGGTCAGTTAGGTTATATTTTGTTAGGTACGCGACACGCCTATCAAATTTTGGCGCCGTTGCCGGGGACTAACGATTTTCATCTAATTATTTGTGATTCGTTTTTGCTAAGCTTATTTCGTTGCTTCGGCTATTCTCTCTTGTGTTTTTGATACTTTTTCTCTAGTTTTTCTTGTGCATGCCCACACGACGCTCAGGTTCAGAAGATCTTGAACCATTTGATTCTGAGATCGAGGCAACTATAAGAAGAAGGAGAACAAGAAATCGACGTAGGAGAAACATGGTAGACCAACCAACGAAATCCCTTTTGGAGTACGGTATTCCTGATACGACTACCGGAGTCCTTTCTAGCATCATAAGACCACCTGTAACAGCTCAGCACTTCGAGCTCAAGCCGCAATTCATCCAATTCATCTCCAATGACTCATTCGCAGGGCTACCACATGATTGCCTAGTAAATCATATTGATAGTTTCTTGGAGAAATGTGATACTATGAAAATGAATGGTGTTACAGATGATGCTATCAGACTTCGCCTTTTCCCTTTTTCACTACGGGATAGGGCGAAAGAGTGGTTGAGAGATGAAGGCACTGGCTCGTTCGATACATAGGACAAGCTAGTGAAGGCCTTCTTAGTGAAGTATTTCGGACATGAGAAGACTGCCAGGTTGAGGAACGAGCTATCCACCTTCCGACTGTCAGATGACGAGTCTCTCTATGAGGCTTGGAGAAGGTTCAAGAGGTTACAGAGACAATGCCCTCATCACGGTATCCCAGAGTGGCTGTTGATTCAAACCTTCTATAATGGCCTAACCCATGAGTTCCGAATCTACATTGATGCTGCATCAGGGGGTTCTCTCTTGACAAAGAACCCAACTGAGGCAAAGGAGCTAATTGAGAAGATGGTGGCCAATGATAATTATCATCCAGGAGGTCGTCAGAATGTGAAAAAAGGAGGTAAGCTTGATGTAGATGCTTTGACTATGTTAGCCAGTTCTGTGCAGGCACTAACAAGCAGGTTTGATAAGCTCCAATCTGGAACTTCTACTAGCCCACTGGAGGTTTGTCAAATGTGCAATGTGCAGGGCCACATCGCATCGGATTGCCCGCAGAATATGAGTGATATGTCTATTGAACAAGCCAATGCTTTCTACTCTTCGAACCCCAAACAACCTTTTGATCCCTACTCCAATTCTTACAACGAAGGTTGGAAACAACATCCCAACTTCTCTTATAAGAACACCCAAGGACAACAGAATCCACCATCACAACCATCCCTATCCAACAACTACAACTCACCACCCAGTTTCCAACAAAGAACACCTATGAACCAACAACCAACGCAACTACTTTCCCAAAAATCTAGCCTTGAGTTGATGATGGAGAGCTTCATTACCACAACCAATAGTGCCATCCAACAACAAGGTAGCTCCATCCAACAGTTGCAAGCCCATAGTAAGCTCATGGAAAGCTAAATAAGCCAACTTTCACAACAGGTGAGTCGCCTATCAACTCTTCAAGATCAAGCAAAGGTTCAAAAAGAACAATGCAATGCTGTTTTCTTGAGAAGAGATGAAGCCTTTCCGAGGCAAGTTGTTGAGAAGGTGTGCAGTGAGGAGTCTAGGAAAGACAAAAAGGGCAAAGATATTCAAAGCTCCAAATATGTGGCTCCACCGGCTTATGAGGAACCGATGCCTTTCCCGCAACGGTTGTCAAAAGCCGTGCTCGATAGACATTTTGGCAAATATTGTGAAGCCCTCAAGAAGGTACACGCTTCTATTCCCTATTCTGATCTTTTAGTTCAAATGCCTCAATTTGCAAATTTTGTAAAGAATATTAAAGATCGACATGAGGATAAGGAAGTAGCACATAAGAAGGGCCCTACTCTCTTATATGATAACCTACCACCTAAGCTGCATGATCCTGGTAGTTTCACTATTCCCTGCACGATAAACGAGAAATTTTTCGATAAGGTTTTGTGCGACTTAGGTGCTAGTGTTAACTTAATGCCTTATTCATTGTATGAGAATTTAGGTTTGCAAGGACTTAAACCTTCCCCTATTTATCTTCAAATGGCTGATAGAACCTCTAGACTCCCTAAGGGTGTGGTTGAAGATGTATTAATTAAGGTTGGTGAACTTATTTTTCCTATTGATTTTGTTGTTATGGACATGAAAGTAGACCATAAGATCCCGATTATATTTGGTCGTCCATTCCTTGCCACAAGTCAAGCTCTAATAGATGTTCCTAAAGGACAAGTGACCATTAGGGCCCAGGATAAACAAGTCATATTCAAGCTCTTTGATGAACATAACTCTAAATTTGATGGTTGTACTTGCTTAAGAATCGATGCTACTAACCCTTTTGTTGATAAGTATGTATTTGATAGAAATTTTGTGAGAAGCAAGGACAAAATTCCACCCAATGATGTGTTTGGCCGCATGAAGGTAAGTTCGGATACGAGGCAGGATAATTATAAAATGAAGGAGTCACTTGGAGGCAATCATTCCCATGGGCGACATTGCGGAGTTCCTCTTCCGTGTGGTGATCCCGGTTGAGCCAATGAGTATCAATATGGTCAAGCTAAAGACCTTGAAAAACTAGCGCTTTGCGGGAGGCAACCCGTATTTCATTATTTTTATTTTAGTCTTTTCTAATTTTTGTGTGTTTTCATTTTTCTTTGGTTCTTAGAGAGGTAAGGAGAGTAAATCTTATGCTTGTGGGAGTTCTCTTGGTGCAGATTTTGATCTAAAAGGCTGATTTAAAAGGAGAAGAATTCGCTTGACTGCGTTCGAGTTCGATCAGGAAGAGCTCGCCCGATCGGGCGCGCGTATGGATCAGCAAAACTGCTCAATTTCGACAGGCCATAACTTTCTGGTTAATTATCGGATTTTTGCGTGTGACCTATCGTTGGAAAGATCTTTAAGTCTACTTTCCAATGCAATTATAATCACTGTATTATCTTTTATACATCAAAAGTTATGATCAAAACAGTGCACATGACTCAATTTTATTCTTTTTCCCACTAACACTTTGTTTCGTTTTTGCTCAATTTTGTTCAAAAGAGATGCATTGCAATCCTCGAGGCTTTGGTGACATTATTTTGGGTGATTATGAAGATGAGTTTTGACTACAAGTTTCCCTTTAAGACAATGAGGACATTGTCTGATTTAGCTTGGGGGGAAGTTCTTGTGTACACAAGACAAGGTACATCTTTCACTCTCTCTTTCTACTTTAGTGCGTTTTCACTAGCAGTAAGGTTTAATGCTTTCTTCTGGAAAAAGAAATGAAAAATAAAAGAATCATGATAATGAACGGCCAACGGCCATTGAACTACTTCCCTGTGCCCCTATCCTTTATGCCAAAAGGTTTTGATTTATTTTCGATTGAAAGACTTGCATAGTGGACTAAAAGATCATGATTTGACCATGAATTGGTTGATCCCTAGTAGGAGTCAAGGTTATTTAACTATGTATGATTCAGGAGCTTGACTGTGTTAACCGTGAGGCTTGAGCCTTATATATTCATTCTTGTGTGTGTTTAGTTCCTGGTGTAGCATTGATCTTAGTTTTGACTTTAGACTCTTAGTAGTGTGTCGTAATGCATTGCACGTGCACATTGAAATTACGAAGGCCATGTTCATTAGGTAGCCTCCAGACAAAATTAGAACATCAGTTCCCTTCTTGCTTACCCATGTTGTAGCTTGACTATATTTTTCATAAACTCCACAAAAATTACCCCTTGGCCCCAATTTGATTACTTTTCCCAAGTCTAGCTTGGGGGAGCTATTTTATGCGGTATTTTTGCGTGATTCTGTTTCAAGTTGCAATTGATGCAAAAATATTGAAAAGAAAAGGAAGAAGAAGAGAAAAAGTGAGAAAAGGAGGTTTGATTGAATTACTTGAAAAAAAAAAGTAACATTTCTTGAAAAAGAAAGAGAGAAATAAAGAAAAGAAAGAAAAATATTTGGAAAAAGTTTCAAATGAAAAATTTGTTGGATTGAAATAAAAAAAAAATAAAAAATAAAAAATAAAAAAAAAATGAAGAAATGAAGCAAATAAGTAAAAGAAGGTTGAAGAGTCGAGGATGTAGGTGGATGAGATGATGGTTGTGTTTTTATTGTAATTGGGTTTATGTTTCATTGATCGAAGTTGATGAATCGAGGTGTGACTCATCGCATTTGATAGTTCCCCCCAGTTAGACTATTATAGCTCTTGATTAGGGGATTTTTATCCACCAATCAGCATCCGACACGTGGGCCAGCCAGGTTTCGGCACGTGTCCTTCATGTAGGCCAATAGGAGCCTGCCACGTGTCATCAAGAGATTCGTCCTCCTTGGACCAATTGCAATGTGACACGTGTCCACCCATGCCAAATGGGAAAACCGGCCAACAAGGCCCAATCATTGTGGGAGGCCCAGTCAGCCTTAGGTTTAACCTAAACCTAGTACTGGCACGCATCCCAAGGCATATAAATATGCCCATTAATCCTCATTAAGAGAGATTACGCACATTTAACACTCTCACCTAGAGAGACCCAATTACTTTTATTTCCGCATTAATTACTCCTTAATCAAGTACTAACTTGACCGTCGGAGGCGGATCTCCAATCGTCCGGAGCATCCGTTTGTTTTGCAGGTACAGGCGTCCGGTTCCAGTCTCAGAATTGTAACTCTCCCGCAGGACATCAGAAAACCCCGAAACATTTTGGCGCCGTCTGTGGGGAGAGTACTTCTGAGATGGCATCCACGTCTGTACCGACTCCTGAAGAGAGGCGTCCCCTGGACGACCCTCAAGTTCAGTCGGACCATGATATTGAGGAAGAATTTGAAGTTGAAGCTCACACAGCTTCAGACGGGACCCTAAGGGCCCGACGCACCCGTCATACCGAAAGGAGAGAACGGGAAGATCTTCAAACTGGACTCAGTGATCCAGCCGGCGCACCGCCTGTTCATCAGCAGCCGACTGATGGTTCTGCTCCCATTACAGGAAACGAACTCATGACCTTCATGAGGGGCTTCAAGGGAGAGATTCAAGAGTTGCTCAACAAGAAGCCGCCTGCTCTGGCCAAGGAGCAGTCGGCTAAGAAATCTTCCTCTTCAGGGAAGAGGAAGCCTGTTCAAGGGCGATAGGCGACCCCTCATCCTAACTCTAGGAAGTGGGAGCCGCCTGTCCTTGATTTCACAAAGTACCGCTTTCCTACTCCAGGAAAGAGGAAACCTGTTCGTCATATTCAGGCGGACGGGTCGAAGAAAACATACACAGATGCTCGGCTATTGCTAGAGCAGAAGAAGAATGACCGATTGTCAGAGTCGGCCTCTACTTCAGACTTCCAAGACAGTCTACGCAATACCTCGATGAGGTATACTCAGTCGCATCATGAGAGTCAGTCAGGCGGTACCTCCCGTCAGTCCGGCTTTCATAGTGACCAGGCGGTACCAAACTTACCATTTGTACCGCAACAACAATATTTTTTGCAGCCACCTCTGTTTGGAGGGCATGCAGCAAAGAATGTCCAACCTATGGACTGGCAGCTACGGTTGCTTAGACTTGGGGAACAGCCGTCGGCCTTCTCCAAGGAAATTACTGAAGCCGCTCAGCCGGCCAAAGTGAAAAATGTATTAGTAGGCGCCTATGACGGCACTACTAACCCAGAAGACCATTTGATGGCATTCACCAACCTGATGTACCTTCAAGGGTTGGATGATCTCACTTGGTGCAAGTGTTTTCCAGCGACTCTCAAAGGAATCGCACAACAATGGTTCGGCAACCTGCCGACTGGTTGTGTGAATAACTTCAGGACGCTTGCTTACTTATTCACCTCCAACTTTTCCATGAACATACCTGCGAAGAAGACGACCCTTGATTTAGGAACGATTCAGCAGGGCGAGAAGGAGGGGCTTCGTTCTTACATCAGGCGGTTTAACCTGATGAGAATACAGATTCAAGGGTTACCGGATGAGGTAGCCTATACTGACTTTTTCAGAGGCCTCAAAGACGGGTCGACATTCAAATTTGATTTGGTTTGAAAGAGGGTGGCGACTCTTCAAGAGGCCTTGATTGAAGCGGAAGCCTATATACAGGCGACTGATCTTTGTAGTACGTGAAAACAGTCGGACGGGAAAAGGTTCGACAAAATAGAAGGACGACAGAAACAGTCGTCGAACAAAGATGAGAAGAAGAGAAAAGAGGTCTGGGCGGCTGATTCCTCTAAACAGCCGGCCCAGAAGAAGAGGAAAGAATTCAAACCATACTCCCCAAAGTATGCGTTTAACAAGGATAGCCAAGCTATCCTAAAGGAAATCAAGGGACGGATCTCAATTGAGAAGCCGGCCCCCATGAAGGGTTCTGCAAGCAACCGGAACCAAGAAAAATTCTGTGATTATCATGAAGATGTTGGACATCACACCAACGAATGCATCAGTCTCATGCGGTATCTGGACCGCCTGGCTGAGCAAGGCGATCTTGACTCTTATGTCAAGAAATCTACGGGGAACACTTCCTCGAAAAAGCAGTCGGCCAAAAAGAGTCAACAGGCCGACAGCTCTGATACAGATGATGCAGTCGTCTACACCATTGCAGGCGGCTTCTCAGGAGGCGGCCCCACTATTAGGGGCAACAAAGACAATATCAGGTGGCTAGACGTAAATTCCGTTCACCAAGAATGGCCCTCTAAATATTCATTTCCTGAGATTGTCATCACTGAAGAAGATCTAGGAGGGGTAAGGGGGCCGCATGACGCCCTATCGTTATTGAATGTAAAGTGGCCAACCAGAGAGTTGGCCGAATCCTTATAGATACCGGAAGCTCCTCAGATCTTATCAGTAGCAAATGTCTGTCAAAACTCAAATATCAGATTGATTGCATACATCCGGCATCCCACCCTTTAGTAGGGTTTGGAGGAGGAGTTGTCCACCCAGTGGGACGAGTGGATTTACCCATCCGCCTGGGTGAAAAAGGGGAAGGATGACACATGGTAGTCCGGTTCCTGGTAGTAGAAGAACTCTCGGCCTACAACATGATTCTGGGATGACCAACCCTGAATAATTCCAAGGCTGTTATAATCCCATCTCTTATGTTGCTCAAGTTTGAGAGGGATGATGGAACAGTCGGGTCCCTAAGGGGAGATCAGAGGATGGCCCGAGAGTGCTATCTCTCGGATATCAAGCCCACTGTTATGGCCGCTTGGTCAAGTGGTGGAAAAACAGACCTTGACAATGTCAAGGAGAGTGCGCCTGTTCAAGAAGCAGGCGGCAAGAAGAGAAAGGCAGCCCTGACGGGGGCCGCAAGAAAAGACAGAAAATAGAAATCATTGGCAGAGGAGCGGTCGGATGAATTCCGCCCTCAGCCGGCTGGTGAG